ATGCAGCGCCCGAAAAGAAAGAACAGCCTAGAATTTCAACAAGCAAAGCATACCAATGTATACACGGTGACTATTAAAACTCCGGCCTACACTCCGGAGAGTACAGTAATAACAGGGGACAGCACTTGGGCTGTGTGTACAGTTGCTACAAGTGCACGTTAGTGTCAGTTGCGGTCTCTCCCGGTACGCGGTGTGCCTTGTGTTGTAAAATGATGTGTTGTTTTCCTGCGTGATGGCATTCCCCAAACTGTCTCGTCTAGTCGCGTGCATGTGTGATATGAGCATGCGCGATGTTGTAGTCGAGAGCCCTTTTGTCACTCGTCTTGTTCGTCCCTGTCAGAGCAGTTTGCTTTTCCGTAATGTCAAAATATATAATGTGAGCCGCAATCAGCGAAAACGACCCTTAGAGGTTTCGTAATTTTTTCAAGAAAAATGTCGATTTGTGACGTTCAACGATTTTTTGATCGCGCTGCGAACAGCGCGACGAGTTCTTCTTGATCTCCTTGCTTGAATTTATTTGAAGTTAGTTGAAGTGGTGTCGAGTGGCGACTCGAGTGTTCCTTGATCTTGTTGCGATGGCTGCGGACGCCAGAGTTGTTCGCAGAGCACACGCGGCAGTCATTGTGTACAGCTAGCTCGAGCCTGGTGGGGAGTGGATGCTGAAGTAGCCGCTGAAGTTCAGAGTGAGGATGAGACGTTCTTTGGTTCCGACATCGACATCGATGTCGACAGCGAGGCGGAATCGCAGCCGTCATCTCCTGCTGCGTTGCGGCTCAAGGTGGTCGATGACTCGTCAGAGTCGGAAGATGAGGAGTCATCACCTGAGATAAATTCTGAGTCTGGGGCTAGTGACGGCAGCGACGTCGTGTCGTCAGCTGCGCAGGAAGAAATGGAAGACATTGCGGAACGACTCCACGCAGGATGCAGCTGCAAATAAGTCGATCATGTCTCCGCACTGTTCCGCTATTCTTTGTCATTCTAGCTGCTTACTGCGCTATTTCAAAGGTATTCAAGCTGCCTACCCACCTAAAAATGCTGGATATTTATTGTACACATATATCGTATATATACATTGCACCAATTTGGAGTACATCTTGTATATTGGTGTATACACCCGTTTTGAATCGGAATATTGAACTTTTTTTTGGCTGAGGTCCTTCAGTAGATGTGTTTCAACAAATTTCTAACCAAAAAGGAATTTTGAAAAATTTGACTCTAAGGGCTGTTTTCGCTGGTTGAGGCCCATGTAACAAACATGTCTTGTCCTTTGTGTCCTGCGTCCCGGGGAACGGAATGGCTGTGATTCCGTAACACTTGCTTTTTTTACAATGATCACTGCTCACAGGCAACAACAAAAAGTTGCATAGTTGGAGCATAGTGATGGCGAGGCTTTTTTGCCCTCGGCCGACGTGAGGTATCGACGTCATGGGGACTGCATTTGTTTTCTGGAGAAAAAAGAAACGGTTCTGTCTAAGCGAGACTGTGTCCATTGGCTGCGGATTACTTGTGTTTCTGTTAATAATAGCCTTCCCGTCTGCGACTAGAAATTTCACGAAAATGAACATGCAGAACATTTGCCTTGTTGGGGGCCATCCGTAATTATCGATCTTTTTCTCCAAGTATGATGGACTAGTCATGTACTATAACAAGTTCGGTTTGTCACAATTCGTCTTCGCTTAGCTTCCCCTTCTATGTTTATTACATAAACTTGAGCCTCCCAAGTTGGGTGGTCTGTTGCTTTGCGTCGTCGAGTTGTAGTAAGGCCGGTCTGTCCATTAGTCTTACTAGTTTCGTCTTTTTCACCAAGAGAAAAGTTTTGTTCATGGGTGCCGTGGGTGGGTTGAGAAGAGTTTCGTTATGAAAAATATTGATAGCTGAAACATCAGTCCAATTTAGCTCTCAAGTCACTATATTTTCCATTCATGGGGTCAGTGGGTGGGGAAGGGTCATAACTAAACTTTTTTGTTTCGTAAAAATTATCGATAGTTCCAGACGGCCCCTTACATTCTAAGCATATGCAATAGCAATTTTGCATCAGGTAATCACAGCACACAAAGCAAATTACTGACTTACCGTCACAACAATTCCTCTAAATCCAAGCCAAAGATCAGATGCACTGCTCAGGCTTGCCATTGTTTCAAGGTGGTGAGTTCGGCTGACACACACGCACCTCTCCTTTTCGAATACTAGTGCTCTCAATTATTGCACTGCAGTGTATGTAACAAATATTATAGGTGTTCGTGTGTGTGTGTGTGTGTGTGTGTGTGTGTGTGTGTGTGTGTGTGTGTGTGTGTGTGTGTGTATGTGTGTGCATGCAGATGTGTGGGTGTGTGGGTGGGTGTGTATGTATGTGTGTGTGTGTGGGGGGGGGGGGGGTGTATGTATGTGTGTGTGTGTGTATGCGTGCATGTGTGTGCATGTGCATGTGTGTATGCGTGCGGTGGGTGTGAGGGTGGATGTGCGTGTGGGAGTGTGTGTGTATGTGTGTGTGTATGTGTGTGTGTGTCCATGTGTGCGCATATGCGTGTCCACATGTGTGCCTGTGCACTTGTATTTGTGTGTGTGTGTGTGTGTGTGTGTGTGTGTGTGTGTTTGTTTGTGTATGTGTGTGTGTCCATGTGTGCACATGTGTGTGCGTGTGCACAAAAATCGGTCACCAATCTCCTGACTATGTCTTCTGCTGTCCTCTGCTTTCGAATCGTATGCCTAGGCCAAAACCTACCCGATGAGTTCATTGACAAGGAACGCAACGCCTTGTCTCCATTGCCCTCAAGCAAACAGAGCGCGGCAGACTCAAGACGAGTGAGCCAGAGCAGTTTGGCCAGCACATCCAGCTTGTTTGAAAAGCCGTCGCCATCGTCGGCAGCTAGGGGAAGCCGCTCCGGCAGCCGCGGCTTGGCCAAGTATCGCAACCCACGCGCCTTTGCCCACTGGCTGAGAGGTGGTAACCGTGGTGACAGGAACGTAAAGGTCGTCGTCAGCCAACATGGTGTCTCCTTGGTCCGCAGCCGCCCTGCCGCTGTGTCCACTGACGAAGTCTATATGGAGGCGACAAAGCACGACGTGCTGTACGACCAGGAGATCTATGAAGAGCAGGATTTCGGAGCCAACTTTGCTAAGGGGGAATCGCACAGAAGAGAAGTGCAAGGTAAGCCCGTCGACGGTGTCGCGCCCCCAATGCCCAAAGAATCCGCTCGCCCTGTGACCATCTCAACACGTGCCGGTGACTCCATATACGCTGACAACGAAGGAGAATGCATCTACGAGCGAACCACAGGGGCAGGTGATTCCCTCTACGAGGGAGCCAGGCCCGTTAATAATTCCCTGCATGAGAGGACGACGACTGTTGATTCCATGTACGAGGACGAGGACATAACCAACAGCGTCTTAGCCCGAATTGCGTCAGAGAATAGTGCAAAACACTCGGCTGGCAGTCCGGCAACAGTGCGGAACGTGGCTCCACTACTGTACGCTGGTACGAACAGCGACAGTGATCTCTATGGCAACGACCCCCATGGTGACGATCTCTATGGTAACAATACGGACTACGACACAGCGGCATTAGGACGTGGCTCGGCGCACACTATCCAGTTGCTCCGGAGCGGTGGGACTTGTGATGTAACGTCAGCACTGGAAGAAACTTTAACGACAGCAACAAGAAACGTGTCTGCAATGACAGAGATGGCAGACGAGGACTCGATCTATGGAAACAGAGATGACGACGCAATGAGCCAGTCATCTGGCTGCTATGGTAACAGACCTGATGACATCGTGTACTGCGCGTCGGAATTCGTGGACAACATGCACGGTACGCCGGGTGGGTCTTCTCGCCATTACGAGAACAAGGCGACTGAGAGACACAGCCAGGCAAGCATCCATTATGCCAACAGACCTGATGACGTCGTGTACTGCGCGACAGAAGGCGTTGACAACAGGCAAAGTACGCCGGGTGGATCTCGCCATTACGAGAACCGGGCGACTGAGAGACACAGCCAGGCAAGCATACATTACGCCAACCGACCTGATGACATTGTGTACTGTGCGTCGGAAAGCGTTGGCAGTGGGCGGAACGATGCGCTGGGTGGGTCATCTGACCATTACGTGAACCGGGCGGCTGAGCAGTACAGCCAGTCAACCATCCGTTACGCCAACGCTAACAACTTGCAGAGCAAGAAAGCCGACGATGAAGATGTGTATGGCAACAACGAAGATGAGGACGACAACTATGATGATGACCTGCGTGGCACAAGCAGGCAGGCCAGTTGCCATGACAAAGTATACGAAGCGCTTTAGGAAGCAACGGCGACGGCGTGCCTATGGCAACGCTGACCAACTGTATCGGCCAGCAGCAGCATTGTTAGTGACTCTCGTCAAATTCCCAGACTCCTTGCACCAAAACTATTACAGTAGTGGGTTGCTGTCGTAGTAGTAGTAGGCAAACTCCACAGTAGTCGTATTAGTTCTAACATTATTAATATGAATATCATGAATAGATACTCAAAGAACTTCATCATGAATAGGTAGTAGTGGTGGTAGTAGTAGTAGTAGTAGACATAGTCATCGTTGTTGGTGTGCTTAGGAGTCGAGAAGTGTCCCGTCTGTGCACTACCCACTACCGGGTGTCTTAGAGTAGTAACTGTAAAGCAGGGTCACGAGCTTTCGCGGTGCAAGTAGGCACCCCGTTGGTCATGTGATAACAGGTCACCCCCAGACAAAGTGATTCTCCAAGAAAACACATTCCTGCATGTTTTCAATTCAGCATGCCACATTCTATATATTTCAAAGAGGATTCTTTTCTTCATAGACATCATAAAAATTACACCTATTAATTTTCTTCTTCACTAGTTTGAGGGAAAGACACAATTTTCTTCCATTTGCTGATGCATGCCATGAGGAAATGTACCTCCGTTAGTCAGAGAGTTGTTTTTACACACGATGCTAACGTACTGTGTTCTCGACATTACGGCATTACCGTGCGATGCATTATTATTATTATTATTATTATTACTATTCCACAACCACGATGACATTGTGCCCATAAACATGTGATGCGGGTGATTTTAACCAGCCATGGTGGGGAAAACTGAGAAAAAGAAGGAGGAAAAAGAACAGTAAACCAAAACAAAAGGAGTACTAACTACCGCCTGTGTGCATGTATGTATTCATATTTCTCTAGGGCAGTCCCCACAGACATATGGTCTCCTTACGGGGTACCCTAGCCAATCTAGGATTGCGATAGGAAAATAATTGACTTGGTGAAGCAGCAAGGCGGACCGATGCCGGAACTGAGTTCCAGCGGTCAGCAGCTAAAAAAGAAATAAAATAAAATAATAATCTTTATTTCAGGATTACCCAAAGGCTAACGCCTATCTGGGGGATCTCCTATTTGTGTATGTACTAGTAACATAGTTAAGGATGCGAGAGAAAGTGCGCAAAGTGAGTGTGAAATGTTGGTTTTAAAAAGGAATAATAAGAAACACAAGGAAAGAAAGTAAGACAGAAAAGAAAAGAACAAGCATGTAAATCAATGATTGCACATCAAAGGTGTACCAGTGCAGTCGAACTGATACTTAGCAATGTGAATGCGTAAATGACGCTTGAATTCAGATAGGGAATCTAAAGTTGTCAATCGGGGTGGAAGACAATTCCAAAGAGAACCAGTTTTCTGTAGGAAAAGGGATGAAAAAATACGACCATGTGAGTAAAAAACGAGCTTTTTGGGCCTACGGGCACTACGTGATATGGTTATCGCAAAGCGAGAGAGATATTCTGGGTGGAAATTGATGTACTTAAATAAAACAACAAGAGAAATCAAGATACGGCGAAATTGCAGAGATTCTAAGTGACACAACCTATTCAAATTGGATTTTGATGAAAGAGAGGAAAAACCAAATCGAGAGGAGGCTCGTGGCAGTACAAGTCCAAGCGAGACTTGAGACCTTGTGCAGGTGCGGCTACGTGCCTCAGAATTGGCACGAAGGCAGAAAAGGCGGCACGAAGTGAACTGGCAGAAGAATGAACGCATCTGAATACAAGAAGGTACAGTTTAAGGGAGAAAAGGATAGTGATGGGTGTTTTTGTTTTTTGGTTTTTGGTTTTTTTTACTAAGGCCACAGCTTCCAATCATGACATGCAAAGCAGCGGTGCAGCATCGCAGGCATGAATCGTGGACGTGGTGACGGGGTCTGATGTGCTCCACCGACCTAGGGTCTCGGCTTCACTGCAGGGCATTCCATGTTGCAACGGTGCAAGCAGGGAATCCTTGGAGACAGCTATTCCGGGTGTTGGCAGGCAGGCCAGTTGTCATCTGGTATGGATGGGAATCCTGCGTGTGAAGTTGTTTCGAGCCAGAATACGCTGAACATCTGCGGTGGGTAGGTAGCCAAATACAGTACGCAATGAACGGCGAGAGATGCGGGTGAGAGAATCATAATTCATATTCATGTTGTCGCAGACTGTGTACATAAGCATTGCTTGCCTACTCCAGTGTAGACTGGACAAAAGAGAGATAAAATGTGCGCCTCGCTGCATTGGTCAACATGGTGCGGCAGCGCCGAAATGCACTTTTGCACTGACCTTCTTTCGGAGTGCATCATACCTCCACTGCTTGGCACACATCCACTGCTTGGCACACATCCACTGCTTGGCACACAACCACTGCTTGGCAACCATCCACTGCTTGGCACACATCCACTGCTTGGCACACATCCACTGCTTGGCACACATCCTCTGCTTGGCACACATCCACTGCTTGGCACACATCCACTGCTTAGCACACATCCACTGCTTGGCACACATCCACTGCTTGGCACACATCCACTGCTTGGCACACATCCACTGCTTGGCACACAACCACTGCTTGGCACACATCCACTGCTTGGCACACATACATGTACACCCTACTACTCGGCTGTCTTCTCTACATTACGAGTCATTTACGACATAAATTATTACATGTACTTTGCAAACATACACCCACTGCTTGACGCACATACACATCCGTCACAGTTAAAGGGAAAGTGCATCGATTTTTCAAGTTGGGCTCAGATGAAAGACAATTATTTGATATCGGTTCCGATTGTACATGTATACGAGTAGTCTCTCGCCTCCGTACGATATGGCATGTTCTCCATTTCTTTCCTTGGCGCTGATAGGTGGAATTCTCTGCCTGTCTCGTGTCGTCAGGTTGAGCATCTATCCGTTTTTGTTTCGCTCTGTAAAGAGCACTTAGGGTTCCCTGTAACAAGACGGCAACGTCTGTAGGGCCTTCCCTATCAAAATAATAAATTCTACTACTACTACTACTACTACTACTACTACTACTACTACTCCGTACGATATTGCAAACTTGCCATACTCAGTATAAATGGCCATATCGCCGATTTTCTTATTGCGTTTCCATGGCGACTACAGGTGATGACGCACATTCTGCTTAGCTCCGTGAGGGAGAAGGTCGATCACTGCAGTGTCATTTTCAGTGTTCTTATTGAATTCACGAAGTGATAGAAGTGAACTGTGTAGAAGAAAATGGAAGAACGGGGGTAAAACTGTGTGGCGAAAAATAGAAGACCGGAGGGTCAAACTGGGTTGAAAGAATAAAAGACCGTCCTCGAATACAAGACCGTCCTCAATTATAAGGCCGGGTTAGGACAAGTTTGAAAGATTAGTAGACCGGCCTACTATTTGCGGAAATACGGTATTGACAGAAAATCGAAAATCTGCAAAAAAAGTATGAGCTTTCTTCGATCTTCGCCGGCGCCGACGGCGCCTTGTACGAGTACATAACGTCGTGTAGATCTCCATGTACAGTCAACTTGGCTAATAAACGACCGCGGATATACCGTATATTCTCTATTATAAGCACAGGTCTCCATTACTAGCACAGTCTCTAATACTAGCACACTGTGAGCACCTTTCGAAACATTATAAGCACAGTCTCTATTATTAGCACGGTCTTGGTGGAAATCAATGCTGCATGCATGATATCTAGCATGTATTTCTTCTTGCTCTGTATGGATGTATTGGTTGAAAAAAAATATAAGCACGGTCTCCAATATAAGCACGGGGTAGAGGGGTGTTGAAAAAATAATTATAAGCACGGTGCTTATATTAGAGAATTTACGGTAACGACAATTCGCGAATAACGACAGAATTTCCATGCCCAGAGGCAAAGTCCCATCCAACTGTAATTATAGCAATAAAAACTGCTTTATGGCAGTTTTCTATTTGTATTTGTATTTATATCATTATCTCATGGCACATCATGATGACGGCCAATAAAACTGAGACAAGGGTGAAAGCCAACCACAGCAGTAAAACAGATAAAAGAATACAAATAAGAGGCAAAGAAGGCAAAGGAGGAGACAAACCAGCAGGATATACATGAAACCTATAATTGAGCAGAGATTTTAGCAACAAAATTATCCATCGACGTGCTGGTCTTGGCCTGCGTTGGTAATGTTGCCCAAAACACATAGCCAGCAAAGATAGGGGATCTAGTGAATAGGGTGGAGGCAGCGCGTGGGAGACTGAGTGAGTTCCGGGTGTTCCGTGTTTCGGAGAACCAATTATAAGCCTGCATATGCAAGGGTATTTTATTTAGTAATATTTTATGTATGAGAACACAGAGGTGGTACTTATGTCGAGTGGAAAGGGGACTGATCTTGGCAATTTCGTAAAGACTAGCGGAGGGAAAGCGACGATCTTTGCTAAATAAGATTTTAAGGAGCATGCGGTTATGGGTTTCTAGCTTGTTCAATACAGTAGTAGTTATGCCACACCAAGCAGTATCACAGTAGTCAAGTAAGGGCAATATATAGCAACGATAAAACAAGCGTTTGCAAGAAAGAGGAAGATGTCTACAGTGGGCTTGAAGAGCCCCAAGGATGGAGCTTGTGCGCTTGCAGACATACTGCACATGGGGTGACCACGACAATTTAGAGTCAATAATAACGCCAAGATGCTTATGCTCTTCAACAATGCGAATAGCAACACTTGAAGAAGGAAAACAAAGTGGCAGGGAAGGGGGAGAGGGGGAAATGTACATAGCTGCCGTTTTATCAACGTTTGGCTGCAACTTCCAATCATGCATCCAGGTTATAACTTTCCCAATGCTATCTTGCATGGCTTTGTGCAGGCGTATAGGGCAAGCATTGGAGCAAAGCAGAGCTGTGTCGTCAGCGAAAAGGCTGACACCAGGGGCAGTATCGGGGAGGTCATTAATATACAGGAGAAATAGCAGTGGCCCAAGGATTGAACCCTGGGGGACTCCAGAAGTAACGGGTAAAGGCTCCGATAACACAGTTGAGAGGCGTACAAGCTGATGTCGGTTAGAGAGATACGATGAGAGCCAGCCGATAGCCTTGCCATCAATGCGATATACTGTTCGCAGCTTAGCTAAGAGACCCCTGTGCCAAACAGTGTCGAAGGCCTTTGCGAGATCGAAGAAAACTAAACCAACATGGTTATGGGCGTTCCGGGCGGTGTGGATGTCTTGCACGAGGCGGGTAACCTGGTACCTGGTGGAGTCACCCCGACAAAAGCCCGACTGTGCTGGCGAAAGTGAAACTAAAAAAAGTTATTGTGTTCTAGTCCATGGACCTCGTCTAAAAAGTAAGAAATGAACGAAATGTGATAGCTGAAAATTAAAATTTCACACAAAACCTCGCAATAATCGCAACACTTGAAATGCTGCTTTCAACTTTAACTTGTACTGCACCAACAATTGGCAACATGCATGCATAGGAAAGAGGATCACGAGGGGAAAAGGTCTTCTACATGTAGCTTTTAATTCTGTGTGTGATTATTGTGAGGTTTTGGGTGAAATTTTAATTTTCGGCTATCACATTTCGTTAATTTCTTACTTTTTAGACGAGGTCCATGGACTAGAACACAATAACTTTTTTAGAAAACTGCCATAAAGCAGTTTTTATTACTATAATTTCTTTTGTTTTTTCCTGTCACCAATCAATGGAATGCCCTATATCAATATGTAAATGAT